GTGATCACAAAGCAACTTATATTGCACTAGCCTCAAATATAAATTACAATCGCGCTTACGAAAGAAAAGTATGGGATTATAAGAGTGGTGACTTTGACAAATTAAATTCCTTAATACAAAATTGTGATTGGGATAAATATATCAATGATGCCGACAATATAGACGCGGCTACTGACAATTTTTCAAATAAATTTCTCTCTTGTGTTAGACAATCTTTCTGTGAAAAAACAATTACTATTCGTGCACGAGACAAACCTTGGATGGACTCCATTCTGCGTAAAACTCTAAGACTTAGAAATAGATTACGAAATAAGGCATTAAGAACGAAGAAAGATTCGGATTGGGCTGAATTCAAAAAAGTTCGGAATACGTTCAATAACATGAAAAAATACGCTATAGCTAATTACTATGACAATATAGAAATGCATTTAGTAGACGCAAACAAAAATAACAACAAATTGTATTGGAAACTTATGAAGGACGCATTTAATGTTAAATCATCCAATGATATCCCTCCATTACAAATTACTACCGATAATGGGAAAGATAGCTTAGCCTTTTCTGATCAAGATAAAATTGAAGCACTCAACAGTTATTTTTCATCCATCTCGTGTATTGATGATAAAAACCATAGTCTACCACAAATCTACTCTTCGTGTAGTGATAATCTTAGTAATATCATAATTGATGAACAAGAGGTAGTTGACATTATTTCAATAATTCCTGTTAATAAAGCCACAGGTCCCGACTGCATCAGTCACAAAATGCTTAAAAATACTGTTTCTACTGTTTCAAAACCATTGACTATGTTATTCAATAAATCACTGTCAGAGAATGTTTTCCCGTCCATGTGGAAAGTAGCTCATGTATTACCTCTCTTTAAAAAGGATGATCCGTCTTTAGTGTCTAACTATAGGCCTGTGTCGTTGTTAAGCTGCGTTAGCAAAATTATGGAGAGAATTATTTTCAAACACGTGTATAATTATTTTCATTGTAACAATTTATTTTATCGATATCAGGCGGGTTTTTTACCTGGTCACTCTACAGTGTACCAACTTCTAGAAACTTATCATAGTATTGTGCAAAGTATAGACGAAGGCAAATCGTGTTGTGTGGTTTTTTGCGATCTATCTAAAGCATTCGACAGAGTATGGCACAAGGGTCTTCTTTTCAAATTACAAACGTATGGAATATCTGGTGATCTTTTACTGTGGTTTACAAGTTACTTGAGAAATAGATCACAAAAAGTTATGTATAAAGATCTGCTATCATCCAACCTCAATATATATGCAGGTGTGCCTCAAGGCTCAGTTCTAGGTCCTCTTTTATTTTTGATATATATTAATGATGTTGCTGAAAATATGCTTACAATGTGTAGATTATTTGCTGATGACAATTCACTGCAACATGCATCATATAATGTACTAGATATAGAATACAGGTTAAACCACGATCTTGAAGTTTTAGACAAATGGTCGAGTACATGGCTTTTAAGATTTAATCCAGCAAAAACAAAGGTTGTATTTTTTTCTTTAAAACATAGACCTGTTTTACCTAACTTGTATTTTCAAGGTAATGCACTGGAGTTTGTATCGGCGCATCGCCATTTGGGTATATTGTTGTCACAAAATCTCAACTGGTCTGAATATATAGATGGTATTGTTAATAATGCTTATAAGAAATTGGGGTTATTGAAGAAGTTGAAATTTTCAATCGGTAGGAAAAATCTTTCTCTTTTGTATACAACATTTGTAAGACCTACACTTGAATATGCTTCAATTGTCTGGGATGGTTGCTCTTTATCTGATGTAGAAAAACTTGAAAAAGTACAATTAATGGCTGCTAGAATAGTTACTGGTCTTCCTATATTAGCTTCAAGAGAATCACTCTATTTTGAAACAGGATGGGTACCTTTGAAAAACCGTCGCTACCAATCTAAAATGATTACAATGTTCAAAATTAATAATTGTAATGTACCGGAATATATACAAGATATAGTCCCAAAGAAACGAGAACACACATCAAGATACAATACACGAAATAAGGATCAATTAACTATCCCAAGGGGCAGGTTAGAAATATTTAACAAATCTTTTGTACCTGATGCAGTTAAAAAATGGAATTTACTGAATAAAGATACAAGGGAAGCCATCTCAGTCAATTCTTTTCGTAAGATTATTAGTGATAATAATCATAAAGCACCATCATATTTTTTGTTTGGTAAACGTATTACCAACATTATTCATACTAAATTAAGGCATAACTGTGTTTTGAACCAAGACTTATTCAAACGTAATATTATTGATAATCCCTACTGCTCTTGTGGTAAACACGAAGATGCCTATCATTTTTTCTTTGTTTGTAAAAAATACTGTAATGCTCGAAGTAATCTTTTTGACTATCTTTTCCGACTTGATTTAAACATCATAGATGTACACCTACTGCTATGGGGCAATGAAAATCTCTCAATCGAAGTAAACAGTGACATTTTTGCCGCTGTTCATAAATTTATAAATGAATCCTGTAGATTTAGCTAGATATATTATTGAATCTTATTTGTACACGTTTTTGTTACTATTTTGCATGACAATTATTATGTGTTTTTTTAAGGAGAAGAACTAGTAAGTTGTTAGAACTTGTTTCTTATCCTTTTGCTTGACAATAAAATATGTTCAAACAAAAAAACCCCCCGATGACCTCAGATTCAACGGATATTGGACGATGCTCGGCCATACATCGGCCGATCCGTGAAAGATGAGTTAATGATGGGTTGTCGATTAGGAGCTATGAGGGGCATCGTTGGAGACATCGCTGATTTTTAACTACGAATTATTTCCTACCGATGACCCCACCGATTCTCAAAATGGCCTTAGTCACCGTCCGATCACTAATGGTGTCCGGGCGGCAACCACGCCATTTTCATCAAAAAACGCATCGGTTTCTCATCGTATACCCGATCGCTGGATAATGTGACTGATACTTTACCAACGATTACCACCTGTCTACGGCCACCGCCGGGAAATGTGACCAAAGCATTGACATGGTTTATCTAAATTAATACAAAGGAGATGAAATTTCTTTTCGAAAAACTTTAAAAATTGTCATCCTCAATTACTGTGCATTGAAGCTACCCAGGTAATTAAGTTGTCTTAATTAAGGAAGGATATTCATATTTTAAGGGCGTAAGGATGATATCACCTATTGGAATTGGTGGTACATGTATCACCAATTCAAAACTAACAGATGGTATCATACTTTCATGTAAATTGGTTGAATGTGATTCGTCGAGAAACATTTGTTTTAACACTATTACCTGCTGAATAATGAAGCAGAATATCAGACACCTCGGCCCAACGACACCTCGGCTAAAACAGGTCGGCCCAAGATTGAAGACAGATCGGAGAATCTATAAGGCAGCTCAATCTAAACTGAATTTCAACGAGAAATATTTCATATTTCCAATTTCAGAGTTTGCGATTTTTAAAAGTAAATTATTTATTGAAAAAAGTAAAAAAAAAAAAAAAAAACACAATCATTTTTCATTTTTTTATTAATAATAAGGAAACTTACTCCAGCATATTAATTAATCAAGGAAGGAGAAGGCATAAATCACATAATTAAGGTGCTGAATCAGTCAATTGCTAAACAAACACAAAATCTGCAGCACATATGTGGGGTGCCAAGTGTGTGCTGGCGATGAGGGGTTAATTTCGAGCAGGCTCCATTGAATATTGTTTCCAACATTTCTTATGAAAACAGTAATGATTTCAATCATATTGTAAATTAAGAAAATTCATATAGATTTTTTTTTATAATCGCTTTAACCTCTCACGCTAAAAATAAAAATTACATGTAGGAAAGAATTGCTTAACTCTACGTTAATGAAAATATAGTACACGTATTACACATTTACATGTTCTTATAGCATTTACATTGCGCATTTCCACAAGAGAGATGCAAAAAATGATATCATATAGTCCCTCCACCACCCCCTCACCCCCTTCTCGATTTGATTTTTAGAAAGAAAAATAATAGTCAGAAAATACAAATTAATTATGAAATAATGCCAATTCAGACACTAAATTAATTTTTTTTCTATCACAAATTTTTACTTGGGCCGAGATGTCTTTTACATAGGCCGAGGTACGTGTCAAAAATGTTGGGCCGCCCTGTCAGGGCCGAGGTGTCAGCCGTCACGGATGTCATTGGGCCGAGTTGTCTGTCTACCATGAAGCCACGCCCTCCAGCGAGCAACAGTCAACATTGCTTGACGACAGGTGATATTCCAAAAAATGTTGCCTGCGCAGAATTTATGCGCGCAAGGTTCACTGTAATAATGTATTTGAATAAAACACTTAGTAAAATATAATAAAGATTGCATGTAGTTGAGTGTAATATTGAAGATTTTCACCCGGCCCTCGGTTGACAATGGTTTTCCTGGGGTGAACCTTTCAATGTAACACTCAGCTATTTATATACTTTAGTATATATCAGCTGTTCCAATGGGTTATAATATATTACCTATTTATTTTCAATAGGTCATTTCAGCAATTTGAAAAGGTATTATCTCCTATCTGAATAAGTGACCATGAATACAAAAATAAAAAAAGCGCTTATTATTGTGTTATATATACATCTTTGCATTAGCTTTGAAATTAATTAAAATTCTCTTCAAAGGAATCTAATAAGAATAAAACCCATTTGAAGTATTGTCAGCGAATTGTAAAGGCGAAAAAAGTAATAACTATTCATCCTCAACCTGAAATTTTATTTTAATGGAAGCGCTTCAAGCAAAACAACGCGTTATGTACTTAGCACTGCTTCAGTGTGTAAGGTTTTGCCTAAAAATAATTACATTTACAATATAACATAACTGGCGCCTTACCTTATAAACAAAGGCGACAGTAGCATGTCTGTATTGTCGTGTAACCGATAATTACATACAATATAAATAACTGGCGCCTTAATAAACAAACAAGGAATAAACAAACAAAGGCAATAATGGAAACACAACTGGTAAAGTAGACTGGGAAACCGGGACTGAAGCTTCAGGATAATACTGGGTACCACGTGACACATACCCAGCATATGGACAGACCAGGGTCAGAGGTCATAATACATGTAGTAGGGAGAATGTGAAACAAGGCAATTTCACCACATTCCTCCCCGTTTTATTTAACAGGTTTAAATTATATAATTACTAATACATGGGATACATTAACTTTTAAACTATTGTAGTTATAATAGATACAATAAACTGCAATAACTTGGTCGGAAAAGAATCCAGACCTATAATTATGCAAAAAGTGAGTAATCAATATAAGATATTCCACATGAACTTGGTCGGAAAACAATCCAGACCTGTAATTCAGGGAATTGTCTCAACATATGACAACTAAAACTGGTAAAGGCGACGGCTATTCTTGACGGTCTCCTTCAATAAGTACTGTACGCTAACTTGTAGTTTCGAAGCAACCTCGGTGGCGACGTCACCAATGAACGCTGGGGTGTTAACAGCTCCTCCTCCAGGTTTCATATATGGGGAATCTGTTTCCAACAGCAAGCGACTCATTGGGACGGACTGAAGACCGGCAACTTGATCGGCACTAAAGTTAGTCACAGCACCCGTGAACCCAAAGTAGACGTTCGAACAGCAGTCTAACCATTCCTTAACTAACTCTGGATCGCCCATGAAGCAATGAAGATGTATGGGTTGGTCTGGATCACACGATTTCCTAAGTAACTGGATGCAGCGTGCGTGTACATCCATCCCAATCCTGTCTGCGGCAATTCCGCGCAAGTGAAGGACGAGGACTTTATCCTTACGAGTTAACGTGAGCACTTGGCGGAAAACTTCATCTTGACGTCTCCACAGCTTCACAGGGACAGTTCTATCTAACCCAATCTCGCCTAAAGCCACGACATATGGACTGTTCAACATGTTCTTCAAATGGAGGAACCTATCTGGTGTCAATTCCTCTACATGCTTGGGATGCACTCCTATGGCCATTCTCCAAGGACCACACATGTCTACAGACTCTGGATGTGTTGATGGTTCACTATAGATGACTACTCCTCCTGAGACTGTAACTTCGAGGTTAGGACGTAGATCACTAGAATAGGAATGGGATAGTAAATCCTCCACAGATCTTCCTGAGGAACATCTCCATATGCGGGAACAAGTCCGGTCAAGATGGAAATGACTGTCAAAGGCTTCAAGAACGGTAGATGTCTGAGGACTGCAAAGCTCCTGAACTATACATGGGTCGCTCTGAGTTACTGGTAGTGGTTCTATAGGAATGTCCACATCAGATCCATAACTGACATCTATGACTGTAAATTCATCCTCTGTCGACGAGTCAACGACCGGAACTTGAGTCTCCTTGGTATCAAGAGTACTAGTGATGCCCCCTGTAACACGTCCATGTGTACGAAATTCTTCGCGCTGCATGGGCTGCAAAGGTGACATCAGCACTACTAAACACCTCCAGTGGAAAAGAGTTGCTGGCGAATTAAGGGGAGACAATGTAAAACCCTCAGGTGGCTCCAACCATCCTTGGTGTGCACACAATCTTCTCATAAACACGAGTGTATCTGGATGAAGAGTGGTGTCCGGGGTGAGCATTCCTGAACGATTTACATAGTCCACACCTGAGAGTAGGTCGGCATCAGGTCCTAAAACGCTCCTTACCAAAGACTGCAACGCTGCAACTTGTAACTGAGACAACGTAGACTCGTCCAAATATCGTAACGGTCTTATGTCGTTGAAGAGCTTAGGCAGGTGGCTACGTTGAACATGACGCTTGACTTTCCTCTCTTTCCTTCCACAGTCGGGAAACGGACATCTCTGGAAAAACGGGTGGTTGACGTTATGCAAATCCACTGTTACCTTGAGCTCAGGGTCAAGTCTAGGTCGCTTGGCGGACTGTTCTGTTTCCTTGATATCAGTCTGGACTCTGCGTGCAGAATAACTTCCAGATGACTTAACAGGTAATATAGACTTGAATGGCCTGGATACAGTGGTAGGCTTATGATGATCCTGGTCCGCCGTGTCATGTACTACGGAAAACTCCGCCGTGTCATGTACTTCGGAACACTCACAATCCGCCGTGTCATGTGTTACGGATGATTCCGCCACTTCATGCACTTCGGAAACGTCATCTTCATTCGCCTCTTCCATCACCGTCGACTTTTCCTCGGCAACATAAGGTTCAGAAGGTTCCATAGCATTCTCACGTACCACTTCTAGATCTGGATTGGATAACAGCCGTATATCCACACACATGGCTGAAGAAGTGGCTGATGAAACAGTTGCTGATGGGGGCCTTCTCTTCCTCAGTGGTCTAGGTTTACGGGACAATGATGGAAGGTTCTCATCAACCCACCTCTCTGAGCAGAGTATCGTGGCAGCTTCACGTCTTGTCGCCTCTATCCATCTGCTGTCACCTTCATCCCTGGCTAATCGGTATTGCTCTACTATCACGTCGCAAATGGTATGATGAGGAGTTCCATCGTTCAACAGGGCCAAGTCGTAAACTAACTTCTTAGGATCAACTAGACTTCTGTTGGCGGTTTTCCTTCTCACAAATGCGACGTAATGCTCTCCTCTGTTATGACGTATGGAGGGCTTCTCCGATTTCCAAGTTCTCTTGTACGATGACATGATTAATATTAATCAATATAGATATAAAGCTTATGTTCAATAATACAATTACAATAATATGGGGGATATAATATACAAAAAGACAGACAGACAGGGTGATCCAGAAGGACTTAAATATACATATATATGTATTAATTAAAGTGACATGACCCTGGTCTTAAGGAATGGTCCACTTCTTCTTCAACTGTAATAAGATTAATAACATAAGTATACTGTTCTATCAGCGTTGCAAATGACAAGCATATAACATTTTACTGCATAGATCAGAACCATATGTTATTTAATAAATTAGCAAACAACATTTATAACATAAGTGTACTGTTCTATCAGCATTGCAAATGACAAGCATATAACATTTTACTGCATAGATCAGAACCATATGTTATTTAATAGATTATTAATTTTCTACTAGCGGTCACATTCGGGGCATAGATAAAAGGACAACTTTTCCGCGTAATCTTTATCTACGTTGACGCAGGAACCGTGAAACCAGTCTCGGCATTCATCGCACTGAATCATAAAGGAACCCGTGTCCGGTCCATTACAGATACAAAACTGATTATCAGCCCTAGTATCTGTTGGAGCTTTGCTGAGGTGTTTGCGGATCCACTGCGGAATTTCGCGATCTTTGCACAATTTAATGCGATCATGATTCATGCTTATGATTTTCCCACGCAGTTTGACCTTGTAGATATACGCGGAAAGCTTCTCCGTTATTACTCCCGGTCCTTTCCATGATGGACTCAATTTGCGGCACTTACCCTTAATTGTCGCGGTATCAAGAACGTATACAATATCTCCAACTTTGTAACAATGTACTAAAGCCCTGAGATCGTAATCACGCTTCATGATACCCTGTGTAGTTTGTAGGGTAGTTCTAGCAACCTCATGAGCTGTACTAATGTTGTTCATCAGCTCAGCCAAGTACTGATCCGCATTTTGGGACTGTCCATTATTGGGAACCGGAAACATCAGGTCCACAGGTTGAGTCACTTCTCGGCCTAACATCAGCATATTTGGGGTGAAGCCGGTACTGCGGTTTATACAGGATCTAAGTGCACCAGCTATTTGTGGAATCCACTCGTCCCACTCACTTGGTGTTTTGGAAACATAACATCTCACCGCATCCATTAGAGTCCTGTTAAACCTTTCAACTTGACCGTTGGCTGATGCACGGAAAGGAGTGGTTTGTGTCTTATGGATTTGGAGTATTTCACACATCTCTGTAAAAAGTTGGCTTGTGAAATTCGTCCCTTGATCTGTTAATATTTGAAGGGGATATCCAAATCTTGTGAAGAATTCATTAATGGAGGCTTTTGCAGTTACCAAGGCAGTCTGTGACGGTAGGGGGATACACTCAACCCACTTCGTAAATTGATCCACCATCATCAGAATGTATGAGTTGTTATTCTTAGTAACTGGCAATGGTCCCAGAAAATCCAAATGAACTCTTTCCATCGGTATTCCTGCATGGAACTGGGTTAAATTACATCTTGCATGTCTGGTGGGTTTTTTATTTCTATTACAGATGGCACAAGATGCAACATAATTTTGAACGTCCACTGTCATGGAATACCAGTAAAACCTCTCCTTCACTCGGCCCAGAGTCCTTACAATTCCTTGATGTCCTGCAGCAGGAATATCATGGCACCTGCTCATGACTTCCACTCGCAAGGTTTTGGGAAGCACAAGGACTCTGTTGTTTTCCTCAACCTTATATAAGACTTCTCTTTCATCCAGTGTGAATAGTTCCTTATTAATCCAGTAGAATTTCGCTGCTTTTGACATTAGAGAAAGCTCATTTCCAGGCGCGAGTTTAGTTGCGAACCAACGATAAACTACTTTGATATCTGGATCCTCTGATTGAGCTCTCTTAATATCATCCCAGGAATGATTGGGCAGCCAGGACTGGGTAATAAGTCTAACTTGATAGTCTTCGTCACACTGGGTAGCTTTGTCCTCGGATACCTGTTGCGCTTCCGTGAGAGGCACTACATTGTCGACATCGTCCAGAAACTCACCCCAGTTCTTATGGGCTCGGTGGCAGTAAAAACATCCTCCACAGGGTAAGTCTTCTATTTTGAAATCTCCCCTATAGAAAGAACATGGGTTTTCTGCACTTATTCTGGACAGTGCGTCTGCATTGACATGCTTCTTACCTTCTCTATGCTGAATGGTCATATTGTACTGGCTTAATTCCTCCATCCAACGAGCCAATTGACCTTCAGGAAAACGGAAGTTCAATAACCACTGAAGGCTGCTATGGTCTGTACGTACTGTGAATGGTCTTCCTAGCAAATAGTAGCGGTAATACCGAGTAAAAACAACAACTGCTAGAAGCTCCTTGCGAGTAGTACAGTAACGTCGTTGTTCAGGTAATAAAGTCAGACTAGCATAGGAAATAGTCCTCTCCTCGCCATTTTGTATTTGAGATAATTCTGCTCCTATGGCAAATTCGGAAGCGTCGGTATCCAATATAAAATAACCATCCTTTGTAGGTAGAGTAAGAACAGGAGCACTTGTGAGGGCCAGTTTTACTTTTTCAAAAGCCGACTGTTGCTCCTCACCCCAGTAAAACCTGTTCTTACCTGTTATCGCATACAAGGGAACTGTCATCCTAGCGAATTCTTTGATGAAATTCCTGTGGTAATTTGCAAATCCACAGAACCGTTCAACATCCTTAGTGCAGGTAGGTACTGGCCACTTGCGCACTTGATCTATGTAGCTGGGTCCAATTCCTAATCCTGTTTTGTTGACGGTACGCCCCAGGAATTCCACTTCCTTTCTAAACAGCACACACTTCTTGGGTTTAAGTTTCAAACCATAAGATCTAAATCTCTCAAGAACATCAACAATATTATTTAAATGTTCCTGAAAGGTTTTTCCCAAAACAAGTATGTCGTCAAGAAACGCCAGGACTGTTTTCCAATGTAGGCCACGTAATACAAGATTCATCACTCGGGAATAAGTACTGGGTGCATTACAGAGTCCGAACCCCATCCTATTAAATTGAAATGAGCCATATTTGGTAATAAAGGCAGTTTTCTCTTTGTCTGCATCTTTGACTTTCACTTGTAAGTAAGCCCAGTTGGCGTCTAATTTCGAAAACCAAATATTTCCGGTAAGTGTGTCCAAACACTCGTCAACCAATGGGAGGGGAAAGACATCCTTTTTGGTGACTGCATTTAATGCTCTGTAATCAACACACCACCGGAGGCTGCCATCTTTTTTCCTTACAAGTACAGGTGCCGATGCCCATTCGGATGATGAGGGTTCAATGACTCCAGCACTAAGCAACTTATTGAGATGTTTTTCCTCCTCGTCCACATAACATGCAGGTGTTCTACGCAGGCGTTGTTTAATTGGCCTAGCATCTCCGGTATCTATGCCATGCTCTATTGCCGTAAAATTTCCTAGGTCAAATTCGTTCTTGGCGAAAACATCTGCATAGGACGATAAGACATCTCTGAGGAGTGATTTCTCTTTGGATGATAAATGCTCTCCAGACTTGATCAGCAGATCTTTAAGATGTTCAGGTACCTCTTCCTCTTTATCTTTATCTGTATCTTTAGAGGACACTTTCTGAATTTTGACTTCCCCAGGGTCATTTTCTGGTAATATATCTAAAATCTCATGAGCGATTCCAACTTCCTCTCCCTGTTTTAATTTGATGTTCTTACTAGATAAATTAATAAAACAAACCAAAGGTGTAGAACCCTTAGATTGTAGTATTCTGGGAGACAAAAGAGTATTTGATTGAATCGGCTCAATGACGTAATCATCCAATGACGTACTTAAACTGCATGGTACTCTCAGTACAGCATAGGGTGGAACATTAGTCTTTTTAATCAATGTAACTTTAGCCACTTTTGCTGTACTAGGAACACCATCAGAACAAGAATTCATTGCTATACGCTCCTGGCCAATTTCAATAACACCCTCACTCATGTTGATTATTGCTTGATGTTGTTGTAGGAAGTCAAGTCCTAAGAGCATATCATCATCCACTGGCGCCACAAATACTTCATTGTCAATGAAAGTCTGAAACCCTATGACAATACTTACCGGCCTGACTCTATATCCTGTCATTCTTAAATCTCGTCCTGCTGTATGTCATATTACCTTTTTTCAGTATGGGTGGTTTTGAACTTATCAGATACTATAGTTACCTGAGCCGCGGTAAGAATAACCGCTGCAACAGGTACACCATTTATTTCTAACTGGACTTTAATGTTAGAGGATGACCTCATTTTTCTTATGTAAATCTCGTCGGGTGGGTCAGAATTATCAATGGTCAGGCCTTTATTAGGCATCAAGGGCTGGCCTACTGTCCTGATCCCTTCTCGTTTCCCTCCTCCTTGGGACTAGCGAAGGCTACACTCTTTGATGGTCGGTTCAGGCTGTTGAGGCTAGGACAATCCGCTTTAAAATGGGATGTACTGCCGCAGCTATAACACCTCCGCGCTGGGGATGGAGATCTCGAAGTGGACCGAGACGCTGAGTTCCTAAACCTCGGTGGACTGCGACTCGGTGTCCTTGGTCTTGCGAGGGCTTCCATTTTCTTCATGATAGTGTCCAGATTTGTCTTTAGAGAGCCAATATATTCTTCGAGTTTCGAGATACGATTTTGTACCCCATCCCCTTGAACCTTAGACACTTTGAATTGATCTTTGTGGGAACATACGGAACCGGTATCCGCATCATCCCCACAAATCAATATTTCTCTAATTTCCCTCCTCCCCCTACCATAAATCGCTTGGTGATTATATTGGAAACTTTTTAGATGATCAATTTTTTCCTCGATATTGGTAGGGTGCTGGTTTATGGCATACTGACCAGCTTCTTTGTCAGTACAGCCATGACATATTCTCTTTATAGCCTGTTTGAGCATATAATCTTCAGGCAAGCCTTCATAAGCCCGAAGAGCTAACTGAAACACACGATCAGCCCACTCTTCTAAACTTTCTCCGGCTACCTGAGCGAGTGAATTTATCTTCAACTGAGCTGTTTCGGGTATTTCTTTATACCCGAACCTCTTTTCCATTTTTTGCATTAATTGCAAAAAACCTATTTCTGCGTCTTGCGATATAATTGTCGCATAGTATTCACTCGCCTTTCCCTCTAAACACCAACCCAAATAATCTTTGGATTCTTGAGGCCTCCAGTTTTTTACTTCTGCAAACCGCAGAAATTTTTGCTGGAAAGCCTTCCAAGAATCCTTTCCATCATACCGCATTGACTTGGGCAGAGTGTCAATTCTGTCTTGTCGATTGTTCTGCGGTATTTGTGGATAAGGCAGAATTGGCTGTGCATGCGGGTGTTGGTGTATTGGAGGTGCCTGTGGATAAATTTGTGGTGCATGTTGCTGCAAATGTGGTGCTTGATGTAGTTGTGGTGGCGGTTGTGGTGCCTGAAGTGGTTGCAGCTGCATTTGTGGTGGTGGTGGTGCCTGCAGTGGCTGTGGCTGTGGCTGCATTTGTGGTTCTTGTGGAGCGGGGGGTATGTGTTGCTGTACTGGTGCTACCGGTGGGGGCACATGTTGCATTTGTGGTGCAGGAGGTATGTGTTGCTGTACTGGTGCTACCTGTGGGGGCATATGCTGTATTTGTGGTGCTGGAGGCATGTTTTGTGCCGGTTGTACCTGTGGTGCTGGCTGTGGGGGCACATGTTGCATTTGTGGAGTAATGTGCTGTACTGGTTGTGTCTGTGGTGCTGGCTGAATGTTTGGTACTGGTTGTGGCATTTGTTGAGGCACATGTATTTGTGGTGCTTGTTGAGTGGTATGCATGTATGTTTGTGGAGGTGCCTGGGTTGGTGTGGGCTGCATTTGAGACATGCCCTTATCACCTAACGGTAATGAACCGCCCGGTGATTGGGATGTTCCCATATCTTGCTCAAATGTCATGGCATTTTGCATACTTGAAACATTTAACGGTACTGAACCGCCCAATGTTTGAGCATGCAATGCTCCAGCAAATGGTTGATGACCTCCATAATTAATCATTTCAGGCTCAGGTTTGACAGCCATAGATTGAAAAACCCCTGGCTGTGCAAATCCTGGTTGCCCCTGGATACCGTATTGTGGTGATGGCAATGCATACGGGGGATACTGCTGATATGGTCCCCACGGATGCATACCATATGGCATCATCTGTTGTGGATATGGCATCATCCCCCACTGGTTAGAATATCCACTAGTGGGTGGATATGGATGCATGCCATATGGAGGGTATGGGCCTTGCTGATTTGTGGGTACGCCACCCAACATTGTAAATTGCCCAATTTGATTTGCTGGAGGTGGTGGATACATCACACCTTGTTGAGAGGGCACCTGTTGTAACACTGAAGGGGCTTGTGTGCTTATTATACCCCCACCACTTTGACTCAGTGTGCTTTGGCCTAAAGCCGTTTCATGTTGAAACGACTTAAACTTAGCTCCTTCAGAGTCTTTAAGTGGTTGAGGTAATTGATATGCTTTTTGCACACCAGGAAAGTTGTAACCCTTTTTTTCTGACATTTTCTTGTTATGCGTGTCAATAACTGCTTGTACATTTCCGAAAATGTCATTAGTAGCCACTGGTGAGCCAATGATATCTGATGGCATGTTGTCTTTTGACATAATTGGCACATCAGTGACTGGCGTATTCTGCTGCAAAGTAACAGGGGTACTGCTCTCTGCGTTACTTGCATTTAACGCAAGATCCCCTTCAGTTTCAGTCATTTGATCTTCAATTTCTTGATTTTCAATGTTTCCTTGATTTTCAGCCATGTTGTTTGCAAGCTGATTATCCCATTCAGGGTTTGGCTGAAAATCAATTTTAGCAAGTTCTTCTTGAGTAATATTCAAGTACGGAATGTGTTGAAAATCTGCCGCGCTTAAAATATTACCAGATGTATACTGATACTTTAGAATATTTTCCGCTACTGCTGGTCCAACGCCTTTAATTGCTTGAAGTTCTTTCTTGCTGGCGTAGTTAATTTTAATCATTGTGACCGCTAGTGCTTGATGACTGACTTTGTTCTAACTTAAAAAGCCTGAACAAAATCCAGAATGTTTTCTTTACTTAATAAGCCAGAAAACTAGTAAGACATGAATGATTGTTCTACAATTAATTTTGTTTTAACTTAAAAAGCCTAAACAAAATTTAAAGTGTTTGTTTTCTTTACTTAAGAAGCCAGAAAACTAGTATGTTTTGCTTGATTGATTTTAATTTAATTTTGTTCTAACTTAAAAAGCCTGAACAAAATTCAAAATATTTGTTTTCTTTACTTATAAAGCCAGAAAACTGTTGTTAATTGAATAATAAAAAACAATTAATACTTGTGACCTAATCCCCAAGGATAAAACTTTTGTTATAATTATGCATTCTACAGACTTCAATGGGACTTATACTACATCACGCAGTTCACCACGAGGTCACCACGTGACGTCTATAACTTTTGTTATAATTATGCATTCTACAGACTTCAATGGGACTTATACTACATCACGCAGTTCACCACGAGGTCACCACGTGACGTCTATAATTAGAAAATATGCCATACCCCGGGGATAATTAATTTCAATTTGTAATATTAGTTATGTAAAAAGTGCTGCTAGAAATGAAAAGTGCTGCTAGAATCCTACTGTCCTATCACAGAAATAATTTAAAAAAAACCTAATGCTTAAATGATTGTATAATTTAAAGCTTTGTATTACTATCTGGAAAGAAAAATTTGTGTTGAATATCCTAAGTAAATAAACAAGGTCAGATTTTAACTAATTTTCAAGGAAAAAATTCTTTAGAATCAAATATTGACAGTACACACAACCGTGACAAATTGAAAATGAAATAATTTTTTTCAAAAATTTAATATTTCAAAAAAGAAAACGTCTATTTTCTTTTATTCTGAAACGTAAATAAACTTTTACAAAAAATTCCGGATGTTTATTTTCTCAAACAGGAAGTCACGTTGTGCTAAAGCTAAACTGCGCAAAACGTCACTGTCAGTTTGGCGCCAAGGCGAGAAAAAATGGCGACCGACAAGACAACAAATGAATGAACAAGATATCGAAAAATTTCAATAAATGGAAATAATGCACTAAACACTAATATTATCGTATCGACGTTAATTGAAACAGCCAAAAACGATAATATATTGCAAAAAAGTATGAAAAAATTTCTAATTACATGAAAAATCTACACTTGGCAGGTCAAAATCACCCACGTGTTTACATAAACACGAGTGACAGGAAAATCTGCTCTGAGTACACAAATATCGCACACAACGTTTTTATTGAAAACGCACGTGTACGCATGTAATAATGCACTCAAAATAATAATTTATTCACACAATAATATTTTTTCGTACAACGTTAATTGTTAACGCCCGTACGAAAACAAAAATTCAATTCAAATACGAAAACTTCACCATGTGCTTCTTGTAAGCACAAGTGAAAAAATATTAAATTGGTCAAATTGTAGGCTTTGCTACTAACGTTATAATATATAACGCCCGTAACAACAGGTTCCTATATATTCCAAAATGACCAAATTAATGCACGATATGTCACTTGTCACCTCGTCTTTCGTTAACGAGTGACAAACACTTGCTAGTTTAGCAAATGTAAATATAAATTTACCGGCGACGCCAATTGTCGTGTAACCGATAATTACATACAATATAAATAACTGGCGCCTTACCTTATAAACAAAGGCGACAGTCAATGAGTCCAGGAATAAACAAACAAGGTAACAAAGGCAATAATGGAAACACAACTGGTAAAGTAGACTGGGAAACCGGGACTGAAGCTTCAGGATAATACTGGGTACCACGTGACACATACCCAGCATATGGACAGACCAGGGTCAGAGGTCATAATACATGTAGTAGGGAGAATGTGAAACAAGGCAATTTCACCACAGCTGTTTTCTAATAATTAAGAATTTCTTCAAGTTCTCTTTAATAATTTAAGAATATCAATTACAGGAATTTGTTTCGGTAATAATAATTTTTTTTACCCATAGCTAGTATTCTGTAAATTTATTACCGACACAATAAGTGCCTGTCCATGTGGTATCTACAATGGAACTCAACATGTTGAATTTCATTGCAAATACATACATAAGTTATAAACCAAACCTTCCAAAAAGAAATACAAATATCATTCTGTTCTCGTAATTATTGCTTTACAATCTGCAACCTTTTCTTTCACTACAGGTGATGAGAAACGCATTGTCGTTGACGTTTACTTCGAAGAAACCAATTTCCACTGAATATTCATCGAAGTCGAGGAACGAGAAGCGACTGTACTGGAACGGTAAGGATTGTCATAGTATTAGGGCATAAAACGTTGATAATGTGCATTTATTTTAATTTTATCACATATATGACATGTCTAGGTATAAAATTTCAAATGCGAAAAACTGTCAGATCATATTTTTTTAGAAATAAAACTACAGAAAAGGAAATCACTTTTAATTTAATATATCATAAAGCGGTTTGCTTTTGTTTTACACTTGGGGGGGGGGGGGGGGGGGGGGGGGGGGGGGGGGACGTTCTCGTTGTTCTCGTTGTTGAATAAAAATATTTTAATTGCATGGATCATTGAAAATGCACGCATATGTCAATATGAGAAAACACTTTTTAAAGGTTTAATGATGATGTTCTTTTTTTTTGCTCTCGTTTAACGTTTAAATTTTTTGCCTAAAAGCGGAAGGCGGTTAAACAAATCATCACGTTAACCATCGTAACCATGGTAACATGATATTAAGATAAGATGAGATGCATTATTACTAATTCAGTGACCATATGGGCATGAAGAGAAACAGAAGAAAACAAGATGTGTTTGTGAAACACTATGCGCCCGGCGGCAACAAAGTTCGAAAAAGCTATTTTTAGCATATAGGTCACAGTGAAAGTCACAAGGTCATTGACCTTGGTGTCATTTGAAAGAGCTTGATTTGTAGAAAATGCATACCAAATATGAAGTCTCTATCGTCAATGGTTCAAAAGTTATGGCGAAGGTTAAAGTTTGCAGACAAACATACAGACAGACAGTAAAAAAAAAAATAAACGCCTCGGATCTATCGATCCGAGCGCATAAAAAGCGTAAAATATAGGTGAATAAAAACATCATTTACTATTATGTTTTTGTAACTTTCTGAATAGACTAAATGCTGAAAAAAGATTTTATACATTCCAGATCCGAATCACAGTGGGAATAAATCTGTGTACTGCATGCAGTTTGATGTTTCTGGTCTCACAGAAAATGAACTATCTGCATTTACAAAGACCTTGCACAACGACGTGTCCAGCATGAAACCGGATATTGTGTACATACAACAAACGAAGGAGGGCATATACTCGGAAGAAATCGGACTCGGGATGAAGAGATTGGGGTATGATGGCTACATACAGAAGGTCACACCCGAACTAAAACAGGCTACATTCTTTCGTTCAAAGCTCCTTCATGGTTTACAGAACGGCTCGAATGTTTTTAACACATCAGCGACTGGATAATGAATCATGAAATGTTATTGGTCAGATGTTTGGCTTGCCCAGTTCTAATTGGCTCTTCATAATGATATGATGTTGAACATCGTATCCGTCCTGAGAGCAAGGATTCCATTGGTCACAAAGGATATACAGGATGTCATGTGTCACCTGTTCCTTCACTACTAAAATATTCTTTTGGACAAGATAGTGGATGGATTAATACAAGTATCACTGAAAGGTTATCATTACTTTTAAGGCATGTAGTAAAATGATACTTTACACAAGTTTATTTTATACGGCTATGCACATCTTATCCACTCTGTTCTCTTCTCATTTTTTTCATATGTGAAGAAGAGAACAGAGTGAAAAAGATGCCCTTGTGGTTCATGCTTACCGAAACTAACACTTCATTACTTAGACACAATTCAGTGGCGGATTTAAGAGTATTTATTGTCAGTTCATTATATACACACACTGAATTGACGATGGATTTTCCTTTATTTCCCGATTTCCTAAACATGACAGGGAGCACACGGCGGATGTGACTGGTCACTCTTCCATGGCACCTGATCCCACCTTTGATGTTTTGGAGTTCTGCTCTTATTTTATATAATGATTGTTTTATGGACTTTTGAGCGTGAATACTGTTCGTTATCTCCATATTTCATTCCTATGCTTTAGTAAGAAAAAAAAGATGTATATATAATGTACATAATTATGTAGCCTTCGAATGTGTTCAAGAATTTTGGAAATAATTTTTGTTTTCCATCCTTCACTGTTTTTAAAAGTTAACATGATTAAAATATGTTGAAATAAATTTGTTTTCGAATGATATATTTGTTTGTAAATTTTTTGACTTCGATAGATTGACTGAGTGTATCCTCCCATTCTACACTCCTAGTCACTGAACAGTGAGCTAGGTATCTTTATCGTGCTAACGCTTGCTGTGACACGGGGTCTCGGTTTTTTAGGCCTCGTCGGAATGACCCGCAAATATACCTCAAAATGCCGAGCGCTTGACGAAGAAACCGTTCCCACCCTGTTTTTGCTTTATATATACCTAGTTCAGTACAGGCCGGGGTTCGAACCTTCCGATTACGAAACGAGCTCTCTAATCTGTACAGGCCCATATTAAAAATTCCCCTATATAACCATTATTTAAATCCTAAATCGAGAGAGGTCAAGCAAATTCTTTTAAGGATGGCCTATCCGCAAATGGACATGGCACTACGAATATGCAATAAAAGTTACTACCTACGCTGATTGTGATAAAGGTTTTTAAGGAATCTGAGTAGGGCTATGTTGTTCACTGTCGCTCCATCGAGATTTGGATAATTTTTGCTACATGTATGATGCGATAATGTGAAAATTATGAAGCGATAATACGCTGACAATGGTGCAATGATGATAAGCGATGGGTTGCGGTGGCATGATGACGATGGCCCGACAATGACGATATAATGCAATGACCATACGAAGTGATAGCGCGATTACAGGATGGTGCGACAGTGATGACAATTATACGATGAAGATGAAGCAATGTTTGTTATCACTCTATCGTTCTATTGCACCATTTTTTTTGTCGTGCAATTTCATTGCTATATCAATGTTAGGTCACGTCACTGCTTCTTCGTCATTGCGCCATCGACCTTTTAGTTAATGCTCGATAGTGCGATAGTGAAATATTTGGCCTTACTAGGATCCCGTACAAATTATTACCAATGAATCAATCTTTTTCTGGATGTTAGCTAGTGTGTGTTTTTGTTAACACACTCATTTGCCATTACTATTTTCTGTGAGAGCTTGCTTGAATTATCAGGGCGATTTATGCAGTATAATAGTAAGCAATCTAGGGATGTTTGCAATACGTTGTGGTATATTGATCTTTGACCTATACTAGTATTCTATATGAATGCTTACAAATCATGTTAAGGTCTCATCCGGAAGACCCACAGATTTCATTCAAAATGTCGAGCGCTTGACGAAGAAACAGTTGCCGCCTATTTTTCTAAATATATACCTAGTTTAGTGGAGGCTAGTGTTCGAGCCTTCCATAAACGAAGATCACGATCTTTCTCTGACTTACACTCTGTAGAAGTGTTACCTGGCCCCAAGACCTTAAAGTGAGGACAGACTAAAGTCGAACTTTCAAAAAAGTGTAACTTTTAAAATGAATTTTAAAATGAAAAAAAAGTTTCAAGTTACGTTTGCATTCAAATATGTCACAAACTTGAGACAGTTTTTAAACATGTTCGATAAATGATGATTAAAACATTCCAAATATAAATTTTGACTTGAGTCTTTTCTCAGTTTACAGTCTTTGAACCTGGTAGATATATTTCTATGACCTACACTCTGTATTAGTGTGATTATATGGAGATATTTTTCTGACCTTCACTCTGTATTAGTGTGATTATATGGAGATATTTTTCTGACCTTCACTCTGTATTAGTGTGATTATATGGAGATATTTTTCTGACCTACACTCTGTAGAAGTGTGATTAGGTAGATATATTTCTCAGACTTTACACTCTGTAGAAGTGTGATCAGATAGAGATTTATCTCTGACTTTACACTCTGTAGAAGTGTGATTAGATAGATATATTTCTCTCACTTTACACTCTGTAGAAGTGTGATTAGGTAGATATATTTCTCTGACTTTACACTCTGTAGAAATGTGATCAGGTAGAGATGTTTCTCTGACTTACACTCTGTAGAAGTGTGATCAGGGAGAGATGTTTCTCTGACTTACACTCTGTAGAAGTGTGATCAGGGAGAGATGATTCTTTGATTAACACTCTGTAGAAGTGTGATTAGGTAGATATATTTCTCTGACTTTACACTCTGTAGAAGTGTGATTAGGTAGATATATTTCTCTGACTTTACACTCTGTAGAAGTGTGATCAGGGAGAGATGATTCTTTGATTTACACTCTGTAGAAGTGTGATTAGGTAGATATATTTCTCTGACTTTACACTCTGTAGAAGTGTGATTAGGTAGATATATTTCTCTGACTTTACACTCTGTAGAAGTGTGATTAGGTAGATATATTTCTCTGACTTTACACTCTGTAGAAGTGTGATTAGGTAGATATATTTCTCTGACTTTACACTCTGTAGAAATGTGATCAGGTAGAGATGTTTCTCTGACTTACACTCTGTAGAAGTGTGATTAGGTAGATATATTTCTCTGACTTACACTCTGTAGAAGTGTGATCAGGGAGAGATGATTCTTTGATTTACACTCTGTAGAAGTATGATTAGGTAGATATATTTCTCTGACTTTACACTCTGTAGAAGTGTGATTAGGTAGATATATTTCTCTGACTTTACACTCTGTAGAAGTGTGATTAGGTAGAAATATTTCTCTGACTTTACATTCTGTAGAAGTGTGATAAGGTAGATATATTTCTCTGACTTT